CCCCCCCCCCCGAGTGTCTCCCCAGTGCCTGCCAGGTACCCGTGAGTGCTAAGTTGTTGTTTTTTTTATTTGTTTTTATTGATTTCAGAGAGGGGAAGGGAGAGGGAGAGGAAGAGATAGAAATATCAATGATGCGTCATTGATCGGCTGCCTCCTGCACGCCCCCACACTGGGGATGGAGCCTGGAAACCCAGGGGTGTGCCCTGACCGGGAATCAAACTGTGACCTCCTGGTGCAGAGGTCGACACTCAACTACTGAGCCATGCAGGCCGGGCCCTTCTCCTCTTTACTAATGGGACTTTTTTTTGTAATTTTCTGTCCATGGGTTGGGAAAGGAAGGTCAGGCAAGCACCTTGACTTTTTGGTTCATAGATCCCCAGACCATTGGGAGCCACAGGTACATATAATTCAGAGAACTGTACATTATTTGGAGCCGGGACTTTGGGATTCCTCCCTTGAAGAAGGGTACCTGCTCTGAAAATGAGAATGAAACAGACTTGGTATCAGGCAGAAAGCCGTGCTGACAGTGGTGACCATCCCAGCAGACAAGACTACATCCCCCACCAGTGTCCTGGCAGTTTGATGTTGCTATGTGACCAAGTTTCAGCAACGCAATGTGAGCAGAAGTGACGTGAGCCAGACCATAGAACTTCCCATGAGCAACTCCCCCTCCTGCAGCTTGCTGCTGACAGGTACAGGAACCCTGGAAGCCATGTATCGAAAATGGTGGGGCCCCCACAGAAGCCGGAGCATGCGAATCACTAATAGGAGAGTGGATCGCCAACCAGATGCAGCGCTCGCATCTTTTTACAAGAGAAAACAACTACTGGAGCTCATTCATCTAGCGGCTGCTTAGGGGTTCTCGGGACAGCAACTGGTATTTACCTGAACTAAAACCCGTGACGGAGCTGAAACAAACCCAGCAGGCTGGCTCGCAACCTGTGCTATCTATCCCACTCCCCTGGTACCAAGTGGGCGGTGTAGGCGCCGACCGCGGCTTTCACATCCTTTCATGCTGATGGGGACTAGGGGCTAAAAACCCTTTTGTTTTCTTCCTCCGCATTCTCCCTGAGCCCCAAAGACACAGCCAGCTGTGACCAGCAGCAAGTATCCTGTCGATTGGAGAACGCTTGGTAAAGAACATACATGGGACACCTTTTGTAAATGACATGACCATCTAGTATCACCATATGCATTTACCCACCATAACTTTAGTCCACACACAGATAAATGCAGGAAGTGCTAGAGTTGGCACCTAAGATCCTGTGCAAACCTATTGTTTTTCGTAAAAGGAATAAGCCCCTGATCATGCATGCTGACAGCATCACACAGGCGCTGAGTCAAGGCCCCAGGGCCCAGGCCTCCCAGGACCTCATTCCTTGTTCTTTCTGTGCCGTGTGCAAAGGCAAGCAGCAGGAAAGGAGCGAGCCCACTGCCCTCGCAGTCACAGGGGCTGTGCCGTCACACAGACTGTGGGTTTTGCTGTGTTAACTTGAGCCTCGGGGATACCCATTATTTACATTATGATGGCTCTATTAAAGCACATCCCTTAATAAAAATATCTTAATATGGGCCCAGAATTGTGTGCGCGAGACCAAAGACACAAATGAACAAGCAATGGACACACCGAAAGTACAATGAAGCAGAAACATTCATTCTCTTACCATCCAACTAAACTGAGACATCGTACTTTTTTCAGAATGTGCTCCAGAAGCACCCTGGGAGGCTATTAGAAGCTTACACATGACAGCAAACAGCGTAACTTCACCAGACACGGGTGAGCCTCATCTTGCTTTCCCAAAACATTATCCCAGCCCTCCAGGGAAAGGGACACTGGGTAAGCTCAGACTTTCCAAAACCAGCGTGAATAAAAGATCACCTTATGTCAAATACATCTTGTGATAAGCCTGATTACTTCTTTTTTCCAGAGTTTAGGCAACAATCTACGTTTGGTTAATGGTCTATGTTATGGTAACTTTATAACTTGCTATATAAAATACCTTATGTGCTATTACATTACGTTACTGCAGAGAGGAATGTAGATAGATTTCATATGCCATCTGGGTTTTAAGGGTAAAATTTCAGCTACCTATTTAGTATTCCTTTCCCACAGTAAAAATAAAGTCTACGATTATTATTGTTTTACACACATGCATAGTATACCTCTTTTGATAGTTGACACTCTTATTAACAATCAAAAAAGTCACACTTACAATAGAATAAATGTCTTACTAATGAGCAATTAAGTGAAACTATCAAGGACCTTATAGGATTTTTAAGGTGCCCACGCGTATCTTAGAACATTAGCTTGCTGGGTCATTCGGGTGTGACTGAAAAATGAAAGACAGTAATTTATACATTACCTAGTAGCTTTCCTAAGCAGTAGTTCTCCTGAAATTAAAACAGGAAATAAAGTTTGTATTTACACCTAGTTTTAGATATAACTCACAATGTACATGTATCAAGCCACAGGTAGCATTTCAGACAGTGTCTGTCTGAGTCCCATTTCCCGCAGCACAGACGGCGCTAGTTGTGAGGTGTGTGGGCTGGAGCAGGGACCACTGATGCCCAGAGACCCTCCCTGCACAAACACGCTCTTTTCCAGAGACAGCTATTTCACCTTTCCTGTTTCTTTTCTATTATGAAAACAGTGCTGAACAGAATCTTGGTCTCATTTTCTGCTGGATGATTAAAATCTTTACTGTCAATTATCTTGTCTCCTAAAAATCAATCCGATGGTGAAGAAAAAGCAAAGCCTCAAGAAAGCGTGCTTCCCTCAACATAAAGCCAAAGCAAAACAGAGCCCGAGAAATTTCAAGTGAATGTCTTTGAAATCTTAAAGCTCAGTAAGAGTCAGAGCTTTATATAAATCAGTAGTCTCTGCATATCTTAGTTCAGTACACACCATGACCTAGCAGAACACACATATTCAAAAGCTCATCCTTCACCAAGGTCCTGCCTTTTCTAGACGGCCCACTGCCTGGTGTACAGGCACAGACACAGGCACACAGGCGACGGATGCAAGCAGCAACCACGTGATCACTGCTGCTCGGGGCAGGTCCCTTTACTGCGCTGTGGAAAGACCGTCGGTCTCTGAAGTGTTTTCAGTCCGCACGTGCCTGCGCGCATGGTAGTCATCAGCCTCCACACCTGGCAATGCACAAAGCCTGCATGCTTTCCTCACTGAATCCTCAAAGTGCCTTGAATTGTTTTAAAAACTTCAGTCTTCCATATTGAAACTAAGTTACTCCATTTTTCCATGAAAAAAATTAAGGGGGGGATGAACTTGGGAAAATAATCCTGCTACTAAATACGTTTAAGAATAAAACCTCTATAGAAAAAATATTGCAATGGAAGGTAAAACCTCTCTATGGGTTGCTCAACAGCATTATTTGTAATAAAACAGAAACAAATGAAGTGTTCAGTAAGAGAACTGTAGAACCAATTAGGAAATGTAAGATTGATAAAATGTTCTACAGCCACTAAGACAATGAAGCCCTAGCCAATGTGGCTCAGCTGGGTGAGCATTGTCCAGTGCACAGGTCAAGGGTTTGATTCCAGGTCAGGGCACATACTCAGGCTGCAGGTGCCATCCTATTCAGCGTACCTGCACGGGGCACCTAATGGATGCTTCTCTTTCTCTCTCCCTTCCTCTCTCTAAAATCAAATTTTAAAAAAAAGACAATGAGGGCCCTGCCGGGCGTGGCTCAGTGGTTGAGTGTCGACCTGGGGTCCAGGTGATCGGGGTTCAATTCTGTCAGGGCACATGCCCGGATTGCAGGCTCAATCCCTGGTCGGGGGCGTGCATGAGGCAGCAGATAAATGACTCTCTCATCATTGATGTTTCTCTCTCTCTCCCTCTCCTTTCCTCTCTCTGAAATCAATAAAGATATATTTAAAAAAGAAAAAAAAAAAAAGGAAGATGCTGAAACATGGAACACACAATGTTGAGCCAAATACACCATGGCACCGTGCCATGTGCAAACAGCTCCTTTTGCAACAAAACAGGAACATAATCTGATATGCTGTCGCAGTATTATGTGCAGTTTTCCCTTTATTGAAAACACTCAACTATATAAAGCTTCTATAGTGACTATTTTCTAAAAGAAAAGAAAAACATCAAAATGGGCAGAATGACTCAATAATAAGTCTTTAAGCATGACTGTTCCTGCAGGAGGCGCACTGCTGCTGTGCCCAGGAACCACTGCCATTTTCTGGGAAGGCAGCACCTGGCAGGCGGGTGCTCACAAAAGGCCTGAAAGGAGGAAGCAGTGGCCTCATCCCTATCACTGATTTTATCACCCAGGCCTGAATGTATCCCTTCTGAGCACTTATACAATACACTCTTCTATGTGAGAACAAAATTTCACATACAAGTCTTCATCTTTCCCGCTACAGAGAAATTCAGGTACACAACTACTTCCTTCTAAGAATAAAGCAACACTCAATTGGCAATCACATTATACATATTTTTTAATGACAAAATGGTGTTAACTTTGTGCAACATGTGACCACAAATAATTAAGAGACCGCAGGGTGATGCCTACCAGAAATAATACTAGACGTAGGATTACTTGCAAAACAAGCAATTTTCAATAGAAAAACTAAGTATTTCCCTTGGGAAAAGCTTTAATATTTTATTGTTAAACAACAGGGGCAAATGTGTAGATTTCCTATAAATGCAGAAGAACAGAATCAGAAAGGCTTCCATAGGGGCCCCAATGGTACAGGGATGCAATACTTCTGATGGCTTTATGATGACATTTCTAAGCTCCTGGGTATTTTAGCTCTCTGAAGAAAATGTTCAACCAAAAGACTAAATCATACAAAGCATTTAATATCTTCAAACAGATGCCCAATAACAAAACTTTAAAACAAGAAATTACTCATAGCATTAAATTGTGTTTATCAAATACCTGAATAAGCTACATTCAGAAACGCTACAACGGAGCAGCTACGGGTACACTGAGGTACTCCGCACTACTACAAAAACACCGGAAAGAGCTTGGTGTCCTCAGTGTAATGCTGACGATTTACTTTTTGCAAGCCATGTATCTTTCAGCTACATTCTCCCAGTTGATTACATTCCAAATAGCTTTTAGATAATCAGGTCTGACATTTTTATACTGAAGGTAATAAGCATGCTCCCACACATCAATCCCCAGCAGTGGAATAAGACCTATTGGAAAGAAAAAAAGCAAAAATTATAATTTCCATTTAAACACTGCATCTTCCCAATTTAACCTTTATCCTATGTATCCACTATTACACTTTACAACATTCTCATACATTTCTCAGTTTCTTACATAAAGAGAAAATGTGCCTAAGAATAAATATTTCTATAAAAAAATTTTAAACTTTACTGTTTGGAAGAAAATGTGATTAGTACTAAAAATGGTAAAAATAAACCTGGGAAAATCAATTAACTACAGTATTTTAATGGCTGTCCTTAAAATACCAACAGATTTACCTAAGAGCCAGTTCTCAGTGGGGGTCTCAGTAAGAGTGTGCCATTTGTGGAGTGACAGAGGACACTCCGAAGATCCTGAGTACTCAGGGAGGTGATGAGAAGCCTGCTCTGCTCCCCAAGGCTGTTAGTCTTAGAGAATAAGTGTTTGAGATGCAGAAAGAAAGAACAAGTTAACAGGGAAAACTGAATAGGACTGCAGAGATACACAGAAGGCATAGCCAGGTTTCACCTGGAAAGCACAGCGTCTCCAGTGGGGTACCTTCAGAGGTATACCCGGCTCCCTACAGCACGCAGTGCTCACAAATCTTTTGCTGCCTTTACAAATTCTGTGGTATCTCACTTTCCCCCAAGAGCCGTTTAGGTTCTGGAAAACTCTGAGTATGTCCACTGAAGAGTCACGTAACCAAATCTTCTGATGTGTGGAGGTAGAGCAGGTGGCTGAGAACCGCTGTTGTTTGATGTTAAAGTGTCGCTTTGGCTTCTTTACATTAAGGTCACATGTCCCGCTACCTGCTAGATGACTTAGGATTCTTTCTCCTAAAGAGCTTACTAACATAAAAAAGGGTTGGGTGAGCCCAGTCTGGCACTTCTAAGCCAAATATTGTCCTATACCAAACCCCCCCAAGGCAGTAGTCTGGAAATCTGAGCTCGCCTCCCAGTTTGACCACAAGTGCTCAGGAGAGAGTGAGTCCAAGGTTTGAAATCAGATCTCTTTTCCTTGTTCTTGTTGTTTATATTTAGTTTTTTGTCTTAGTGCATACAGTTATGTAAGTTGATACAAACTCACTGTCAAATGAAGCAGTTTATGTCTAAAACATTTTTTGTTAATGTACCTGTAAAATTACATGCGCTTATTTTTTATAAAATTTAAGATTTCAAAATATTGAAAACTTTTAAAGCACTTTTACTTACACAGACTCTGGGTATCACCTGTCAAGATTTGCTCAAATAAGTACACATGGCTAGTATTTCATATTTCAAGTTAAAGGCCTTATAGTGAACCATCTGCCCTGAAAGAATGGGTAACAACTTTCCAATCTAACCTGTTGTCCCCTGAAGGGGGTCCTGGTTAGAACAAGCAGCAATCTGCAGGCGTCCTTGTTCCTTATTATAACCAAGCCAACCCCAACCTGAGCCTTGAACGCCAGCAGAAACAGCAGTCAACTTCTCCTTAAATGCGGCGAAGGAACCAAAGTCACGTTTGATGACGTCCAGCAATTCCCCTATTTAAAAAAAAAATCCAAAGAACACCCACAAATGAGCAGATGGCAATAGTTACAATATTTTATTACATATATTAAAGTATTCTTGTCCTATGGCCAAAGATACAACTAGACAACACCATACAGAAGACAACAAAACCCAATGAGCCTCCACAACACCATGCTACTCTGCCCTGAGACCAGTGTCCCAGGCCTCAATTGTAATTCACATGTTCATTACTGAAGCATTGGAGGATTTCTTCCTTCACTGTGCTATTGCCATCAGGAAAGAAAGAATATTTTCCATTAGCTTTCTTTTTTTCCACTCAGTAAAAATTTTACTTCAACTTCTACTCTACCTATTCTGTCTCAATTTGGGAATAAAACGTTACGGCTGTTATCTGGTTCTTCTCCAAGGTGGGCTAGATCTTTCTTATCTCAATGATAGCATTTTAAAAGGAGTGATTTTTCTTTTCTATTACTGAACTAAGGGTACACTTTAAGGGCTACAGCCATTTTATTCTGTAGCAATATAGAATTCTAGACTGACCACATCAACCAACTCAACTAGGCCAAAAATATCACCTCTCTGTTAAAAGCAATCATGTTATAAGCACAAATGATGGAACACCGTGATGCAGAGAACACAAAGTGGCAGAGTACCGACACCTGTTGATTGAATAGGGGTGTCTCTGATACTCTGGTAACTCACAAAACCTCAACAGTGTTCAATTATGGTCTGAAGACCTAACTCACAAGAAATAAATTGTCCAACTTCCCATACTTACTCCCCCATTCAGTGTTATTTCCTAATGAAATTGTTTATTTCGAGTGCATAAGATGCCTTCTAGAACACAATTCAAACACACACACAGCCCGGCTGGGCGTGGCTCGGCGGTTGAGCATCAACTTAGGATTCAGGAGATGGTGGCTCCATTCCCGGTCAGGGCACATGCCTGGGTTGTGGGCTCGATCCCCAGTTGGGGGCGGGCAGGAGGCAGCCAATCAATGATGACTGTCTCATCACTGAAGTTTCAATCTCTCTCTCTCCCCTCCCTTCCTCTCTCTGAAATCAATAGACCTACTTAAATAAATAAAAACACAACACAACACACACACAAATTTAAGGTACATCCCAGAAGCCCAGAAACAGGAGGGGAGCTATATTTGTGCCCCAGACCTTCCCAGGGGTGAGAGGGATAACTAAAGTCTCCACACACTGCACAGAAAGTCAAGTGAATGAGAGGAGGGGCCAGACGATCAGCCCTGTACTCCCGTCACCTGCAGCTCTCCTGGAAAACCTAATTTTCTGGGACAACTGACTTCTTATCTCTTAGGAAGAGTAGTAAAGTAAGAGCAAACGGCACTACTCTATGTACTTTACATGTAATAACTTACTTAATTCTCAAAACAGCCCTATTATAATATATAGAGGAAGAAAGGAAGGTTCAGAAGGGTTAAGTATCTCACCCCAGGTCCTAGAGCTAGTAAGTGAAATCTTGTCTTTTCTAAAAACCGTTTCTTGGTCTTTCCCTAATGTACAACACAGAGCATTTCAACCAAAAGTCGACACCATATGCGATATTACATGTATGTACATATAAAATCTGATGACACGACCCCCCAAATGCACTCTCCATTCATACATATGTCCCTTTGGAAGTTACTACAACTTGACTGAACTCCTTGCTATGAAAAATATGCTATTATGATACCTCAGAGAAAATTAGGGAAACAAAACAAATCAACAGTCAATCCTATCATGCACAAAATGTAGCTAAGCTTGTACCAACATATACTGACCTTTGGGTTCTCCACCACCCTTAGGGCTCAGGTTTGTCCAGAAAATGCTGTGATTGATGTGGCCTCCACCATTGAACTTCAGTGCAGGCTGAAGAGCTACCTGAGCTGTAACATCACCTGAAATGTTAAAATGCAAATAAATTTTAAAAAAATTTTTACTTTTCCAGCCATTCTACGCACTATTTTATTGTTTGTAAAATGTCATAATTGGATCAGCTTATCTATAACATATTATAGATCCTAAAATTCTACAATTTCAGATTCTACCAATAAAGACCTTCCCGAATTATTTGTCCCAGTGGATTTTCAGGTGATTTGTACCAGGCCAAACAACTAATGAGACAGCAGGGGTGGCAAAGCTAGAAGGAAATTCACTTCTGAGCTTCAAAGAATTCAGTTTTCTTAGATAGAAAAGATTTCAGCAAATGAAATAATGAAGAACAAAGATAGAAGAAAACAGTGGAATGCTAAAATGTATGGTTCCATATATAGACTATATGGAAATTTCCACCTCTCATTTTCTAATCTAGGTAGACAACTGTTCACTGAGAAATATCTGTTACATTAACAAGAAACACAACATATTCAAAACCGAGCCCCAGATTTCCAACCCCAAACTTACTCCTGCTGTGGGCTTCCCCATCTCAGTAGTGCCAGCTATCTCCTCAGGCCATTTTGATAACTTGGTCATCTTTGACTCCTTTCCTAACCCACCAGCATATCCACCAGCAAGGCCCACTCTCCCGTTAAAACACATGCAGCCCAGCCGGGCGTGGCTCAGCAGTTGAGCTTCCACCTAGGTTCCAGGAGATCAGGGTTCGATTCCCGGTCAGGGCACATGCCCGGGTTGCGGGCTGCAGACAATCAATGACTCTCTCATCATTGATGTTTCTATCTCTGTCTCTTCCTCTCCCTTCCTCTCTCTGAAATCAATAAAGGGATATTAAAAAAAAAA